AAGTATCACAAAATCACCTCACAAACGCGCTAATTGGCGTAACCCAGCTCGGCGCATCGGAGCAGTATGTGTTACGTGATAGAGCAGCTGTTGTCTGCAGGAACTGTCGGCGGTCTGGTGGAGCATGTAGAGCCTCGCTACATGCTTCCAAACCGTGGCATGTTATCTCGGCGAAAACTATCCCAGAGAAGTAAAGCAAGTGCGTAAGTTCATCCCTGAATGTTTGCATAGTATTTCCATGTTAAGCTTAACAACTGATATATTGAGCCACAGCTGGACTGGCCATCGGAGTTCCAAAAGGAAGCGATTTGTCTCGTACTTAAGCTAGAATGAAAAAAAGACACAAAGCTGGAGTTATTCTGTTCTTGCTGCAAAGCTGATTCTTCTTCTCTCATTCCCCTTCCTGTTGCTACTTCAAACATGAAACTGGTCAATGATCAGCTGGTCGGCTTTTCTGTCGCAAATCCTGCCTTTCTTGTTTGTTTATCGCCCACTTTGTGCCAGAGAGAGGAGACCAGTGGATAAACAACAGCAGCACGTTTAAGCTTAATTAGCTGTTGTTAGAATTTATTTAATATTACTTTCTAGTATCAGTTGATGTTTGCTGGAGCCACAGCTGTAAAAGCTGCTGGTCATGATGTCGGCTTGGATATGTGGTGAGAGGGAAACTTGTAGATGAAACCAGGAGATGTCCTTACTGAATGATCAGAGCTGAGCAGGTGATGGAGAAACAGGTTTACCTTTTAGGTGACATGAATGAGTTGAAGGGAAGTTATGAACTTATGCATTTGTTTTACAGGTGCATTAAATTAAAGTTGATTACGTCGATTAAGCATCAAGGTGGAGGGCGGGGGGTGGTTCTGGGAGATTTATGTTAGGAGTTGGCAACCCTATTAGTTAGGTTGTTTAATATTTCTGCTAAGGACTCTTTAAAATACCAGAATAGGAAGGATGGTGCAGGTTTAAGTTTATTAGATTGATCAGTGTTGCTGAACTATAAAATATTTTGGGTGCAGTGTATTTTTTGCATACAAGTATAACAGAATAGTTTTAGTGTCTTGTTTTTTAAAACTTGAGTATGAACTTATATAAAATGCAGCAAGATATTCATTTAAAAAACAGTTTTGTTGATTAAAAAAAACGCTATATCGGATTCATATCGGTATCGGCAGATATTCAAATTTATGATATCGGAATCGGTATCGGACATAAAAAAGTGGTCTCGTTTATCTCTAGTAACAAGCATTTACAAAGCCATCTACATTTTAAAAAATGGATAGAAATACTGCACATAATTTTATGTATCCTAATTGTATGTATCCTTTTCCCCCTTTCTGATAATGATCTCTGGAATCTCTTGATTCAATCTTTTTTCAATCTGTTTTAAGTGATGTGGTGCGTCTTGAGAGTCCGCATCTTGAGGAACAGAGGAACGAGCTGATTGTGCGCATCAACGCTGACCGCAGCCAGCTGAAAGATATTGAAGACCGCATTCTTAAGCTTCTCTTTACCTCTAAGGGGAATATACTTGACAACGAGGAGCTAGTTCAGACTCTCCAGGAGTCAAAGGTAGGGATTAGGCTATATGGATATGGAGTTGTGGTTGTTGAATTTAACATTCCCTGCAATGACCTTTTTTTAACCTTTCCTGTTTTTCTGATGCTCATCCTGTTTATTTCCATGATTTTTTGCATCCTCTTGTCTCCAGGTGACTTCAGAGGCCATAAAGCACCGTCTGGAAGAGGCAGAAGCAACTGAGCTGATGATAAACTCTGCGAGGGAGCGCTACAGGCCTGTGGCCACTCGAGGATCTGTTTTGTACTTTGTCGTTGCCAGTCTGTCGGAGATCGATCCTATGTACCAGTTCTCACTCAAGTACTTTAAACACGTGAGGGAAAAAAGAGCTGGGCTTTACTCTCAAATTTACAAAGCTACTTGTACAGGAATGTTTAATGAAAATGTGTAAGTACCCATTTAAAGTAATTATTTTCTTTTTT